AATCAATAAACTGCGCACCGGACTGGTTCAGAGTTTCATTTTCATTAAGTTGCAAACAAAGCGTAGTTCGGTGTAAAATGAAAATAACGAACAATTTACCCCACAGTGCTGAAAGACGCGCTTTGTGCAGAATCAGTGGTAGCAATTTATTCGTTATTGTAATATGAGCCTCGGACTCCTGATCAGTTTCCACGTTTTTTAATCCTACATTTTTTACTAATTTACAACAGCTGAACTTTTGTAATATGTATTTAAGTAAGTAAGAAAGTTTTGTCATATTAATAAGTAATTTTCGAAATATCGATTACATAGCCTACCGGCAAAATTCGTCGGCCAACACTCGATATGGCGCGTAGTCTTCGTTGGTGGCTGGCCAGGGAAGGTTGCGTAGATCATCCTGACTCTGAGAACTCCACTTGTAGTCGCTCTGGGTACACGATTCGCGCAACTCGGTACATGTTTCCGCCAAGGCAGTCGCTGCCAAGACGATCACCATTGCGCACCAACAGATCATTTTGCTGGTTTCGATATGCGGTGCAACAATGCTTCTTATTTAGTACTTATTCAGTGCTTACTATTCCGCGCTTCTTATTCAGTTATTTAAAAATCTTAAAGCACGTTTAACGCTGATGCTTAAACGCTCTGTGGGTTACTGACAAAAATAACCCGCAATCACCGGCTAGCAAGTGAGCGGCAACACTATGATTTTGTATTTTAATGTAATCGAATTCGGGACTTTGTCTTCGCGCTACAATGATTGCAATGATGATGGCAGAAAGATGCGCTTCCATGATAACGCTAAATGGCGAGATCTTATCGGTGGACGCGTGCTTAACCTTGTGTGAAAGTTGTTACTGGTATTCAACAGGCAATAATGCCTGATACTAGAATAGTACTACTCTGTATTAATGTTTCAGTGATGGATACAGTGTCCATTAAAGGGCACTAAAGGAGAGAAATTCACTACTTCAACCGCGGTTAATCTCTCACATTGTACGAAACTTCACACGGCTGACACAATTGTAAAATAGCTTCACACGGAAAAAAATTATATTTGCTTATATTTACAATAAACGTATCATATATGCATCTGTTTTGCTGAAATTCGCAATCGACAAATTCTCGAATAAAATGTATAAAAGCATTATAATTTTATGTAACGCTGCCTGGTGACCGTGTCACCTAGCAAAGGACATGCATTTTTTCACGTATGTGACGGAACATCGTACTGGAAAAAATCTACAGACGCTCCTGCGTTTTAAAAAATTTTACAGACGCTTCTGCTTGCATGCAGTTTTAATATGAACGCTTTAAAAACTGATCAGAAAGTACGCCAGCGATTTATGCTGCATTTAAGAGCTGTTACATTTTACTGAACTATGAGTCAAAATCAACCAATTTGGATTTGCCAGTAGGAAGATACTCTAATGATAACGGCAGGTTCGGAAAAAAATGTTTTTAAACACGCCTCGAAAAATGTGAGAAATGTCCGTGCACCATACGTACGACAGACGCCAAAAAATGGTATCTGAACGAGGATTTCGCCTATTTCGAGGATCGGTTTGATCTGCACAAATATGGCGGCGTTTATTCTCACATTCTCTTTTACGACAATAAACTATTCGTATGTCCTTTGGACTAATAATGGTGTTGTTAACGTCGGCATTGTTTTAAAATCAAAATCTACTCGGCATTTGCAAGGTCATTTTAGGAAATACAGAAAGCGGCATGTTGTGCTCGGTAGCCATCGCGCATAGCTTCCACCGCGTCCGACCCGCAAACGCTGGACAGCGTCGCGTTGAGCGGACCTTCCAGTCGCTCCACGTACGTGCGCAGGCCTCTACACAATTAATAAGTACGTAGTAAGTATACGTACAAATACTTGGTTTATAAATACGCAAATAGTAGACTGCAAAAGAAAAACGCTTAGGTCGGCAACACTTACTCGCAGACCGCACTCTTCACATCGGTGACATTGCGCTGGGACGCCGCCTCCTCCGACCCATGGTGCAACTGGAACTCTACATCGCGTGTTAGTCGGTCACAGTAGCGTTCAGCGCGGGTATACCGCAGCGGATTAATGTCATACTGGCAGAGTGCAGCCCTTGGGCCCCATCCTGCCGAGGGACTGTAGTAGTAGCGCGCCGAAATATAGGGATCGTCGGAGCAACGGGCCATCAGGGCCTTCTTGCAGTGTGCTGTTTCGTTTTGCATGCTACGAATGCGGTGCCCGAAAAGGATTATGAAAACATAGTTCGGGCTCTGATTTATGACAGTTATAAGAGATTATTACAGTTAAATCAAAACCAATACCAAACATTTTCAAAATTAAGTGAAAGCTTTACATTAGTCAGGTAAAATATCTCCTTGATCGGAGTTCGGTTGCTGTATGTACATAGAAAGGATAACTTTTAATGCATGAATAAATTTTTGGAATGCCGATAACATACCGGCAGTGTTTTTCAGCGAGCGCTCTATATGGAGCGTAATCCTCGTTTGTCGCTGGCCAGGCAAATTGTCTAATTCATGTTCATTCTGTGATGAATACATGTTGTTCCTTAAAACGTCGCACGCTTCCCGTTGTTCCTCGCATGTCTTCGCCAAAACAGCTGCTGCCAACGCGAACAATTTTGTGCAACTGGCCAACATTTTTCTGCTGTTGCGGAAAAAAGCAATTAAGTACTGTACGCGCGTGTACAGTTCGATTGGTAATTTAGTGGAGACTGTGAATCTTACTATATCCGCAACAGGTATGCACAGGCGTTTATATACGAGCACGAGCTACAGCTGCGAGAAGGCTCAAGATCTACGCTATCTCACCTATCAGTTTTGCCATCTTGATTAAAAGGCAATGCGCTCCATTTGCTAACCGAAGTACCGAACAGAGAACCAAAAACGCTGGTCAAAACAATCCATGTGAATTTGCTATAGCTCACTACAGTGTACATGATGTACAGAAACTATTTTCACCCAATCGCATCTTGTTATCTTCTTTAATCACTATGAGTAAGTACTAAGTATGCCTGACTAAATAACGAACAGGTTATTTAAAGTTTATCGTTAAATAACGAAAACCGGCTGTCATCACGATGAAAAAATTTTATCAGACCTCGTTCTGCCACACATCTTATTCACATACAGTTTTACTGTGTTCAAAATCTGCAGAAAAAGTACCAGGTGCTTTCAGTTCAGCTTAATGCATTACCTCATGTGCCGAGCGGAGTTGGTAAAATGATAGCCAAAAGATATACACGTATCAAGATAAGATATACACGTACACATAAGATATACACGTATTATGTAGGCATCGCACCAAGCGGACTCTTCGCAGTTTTCGCGATGGCCCAGGGAGCAGATGCAGTGGGCCTAGGACATTCATCTTTGCGTGGTCATTTTCGACAAAGTTGTCACTGGACAGTTTATTAAGTTTAAGCAGCAGTAGATATCCTGAAACCGTTTCCACCTGTTATACTATCAAGACTATTCTATTAAAGATTATACTGATAACTGTGGTTCGTTAAATAAATTGTACAGTTTTGAGTTTTGACATTATGCAAAAGTATAGTATTTGCAATATCTGTTAATCCAACAGGTGGTACTGGAGATGGATCATATGATAAAGGAAGGTTTGGAAACGCTTTCTGAATGCCACATGTGCTCTTTTCTGTCTTGTTAATTCATTATACCGAGAAACACTTTCTCATTTGCTGCTTTATTCTCGCAGTTTCTTTATTCTTTTGAGCAAGAAAAATTTTCGGTGGCCATTAACGGCGAAACTTCTCACACCATCTCCTTAAAAAGCATTTTTAAGTAGAAAACAGCGTGCCGCATCCGATACCCATCGCGCATAGTGTGCAGTGTGCACCGTGTCCGATCTGCATACACTGGACAACGTCGCGTTCAGTGGACCTTCCAAACGTTCACGCCATCGTCCAGATGAGTACACAATTAAGCAGACATTCACCAATTTCTCGCTAAAACTGTATCAACCAACATGCCAGGAAAGGAGACACTTACTGACAGATTCCACTTTTTGCATTGGTGACATTTCGCTGGCCAAGAATTAGTTCCAGCTCATAGGTGCAACTTGAACTCCTACATCGCTGGAGAGCTGGCCAGAGTAGCGTTCGGCGCGGTAATATCGAAGCGGGTTGATGCCGTCCTGGCATACCACCCAGGATAAAGACCACTCAATTGAGGATGGGCTGTACATATCGTAGAACGCCAGTATGTGTGGATCGTCGCAAGGCAAGGGGCTATCAGAGTCTTTTTTGCAGTGCCGTTGCATTATTCATGCTACGAAAATAGCAAAAAAAAAATACATACTAAAAAAAAATGTTGTGCTCTGCTTTATAAAAGGTGACCTGTGCGATCGATTTTGACAATTAATTTTTTAGTTTTAAATAATTGCGGAATTTCTGATACGATATAACCTGTCGTAATTCGTACCGGAAGTTTTTTGTCGGCTAATACTGATATGTAAGCTAATCTTCGTTGGTCGCCAGGGTAAATTACTGAGCTAATGATCATTCTGGGGCTCCATAGCGTCAGCCAAGGCATCACACCGCTCACGCAGTTCCTGGCATGTTTGCGCCAACGCATTTCCTGTTAACACGAACAAAACTGCACACCAGTTGTACATTCTGTGACTGCTGCAAAATTACAGAACTCTATAACTCGTATATTATAGTATCTACAGTTGCTAATACTATGTATGTACAGCTCAAATATGCACGGATAATAATTATACTTGTAGCGAAACTTGTCAGCCGTGTACCGTATCCGGCTAATTATTTCTACACATGATTGTGCAGCCGCTTAAGTATAGTACTACTGCGAGCACAATTTTCAGCTGCAGCCTGCATTTATCATCACGACCATATGCTGTCTGATTTTTATCGACATTAAATCTCGATGCAAACCGGGGCGTACTCATGGTTGGCGGCCAGTTTTAATTACACAGGGTTCCAAGGGATCCCTCGCAGCTCGACCGCAGAATGTCGGGAAACAAAAGTATATATATTTTTTACGTAAAGTGCTATGTTACCTGTACGAGGATGTCAGTATCGCATCTAAACCAATCCCTGTGCTTGCTACCGTGAGTGAGACGTTGTGGCTGTACGTGTTGCTTTGTACCGTGCTTGGTGTAACCATATGTCACACGTCACACTTCAGACGGGTGACGGCAGCAAGAACAGAGAGTGCTTCCGCTATTGACAGCCGCTTATAAAATTAACAATGCTAAGTTCAATACCAATGCACAATATGATTATCAGTAAAGCGAAAATGAGAACCTGGTACAGAAGCATATTAGTGCTTACTTAATACTCGCACGGGTCTTAGCATTTGCAACGGATTTCGTTTTCTTGTTTGCGCGCTGCTCAACACCGTTGATTACGTTGCGAAAAACGGGATGAATAAACCAGTTCAGTGAGAGTGACGTCCACATCAGCTGTAAGCCTGAGTAGCAATCGTAAACGCGCGATTATACGCATCCTGTATGACGCCGCTGCAGGTGGGATTCAACGAGTATTTACTATTTACCTACTTTGCGGTCCTGCAATATGCTATTGTATTGACATTTTTATGCAGCGCACATGAGTCTTTTGGGCGTGCATATGTTATTCACTATACCGCGAAGCGTTTTTCTTATTTTCCGCTTTTATTCTCCAAATTTCGTTACGGTTTTGAGTGCTGACATCGATTTACGGTACCCATTAATGTCGAAAATTTCTCCAGTTTTTAAAGCACACGGCATCACCAACGGTTATATTTTTCAAGTTGAACAGAATGCAGTGTGCCGCGCCCGACACCCATCGCGCATAGTGTCTACCACCGCATCCGATCCGCAGTCCACGGACAGCCATTCGTATAGCGGACCATCCAGTCGGTTCACACAATCGTCCAAGTGCCTACACAATGAAGCAGCCATGCACACAATTTCTCGTTAAAACCGTGATAAAATGAAACTACGATTCACGGCGAAAAAGCGACACTGACAGATCAGACTTTAGCATTATTAATGGTGACGTTGCTCTGGTAAGGCCACTGTTCCAACTCTTTGTGCAGCTTGAAATCCACAGAATGGGATCGTATGTCGCAGTATCGGTGAGCACGGTAATACCAAAGCGGGTTAACGTCGGACTGGCACAATGCCACCCAGGATAGTGACCACTCTATCGAGGATGGACAGAAGGACTGGTACCACCGACCCTTTACCTGTGGATCATCGGGGCAACGGGTTATCAGGTCCTTCTTGCAGAGTGCCGATGCATTTGTCTTGCTACCAAGACAAAGCGAAATATTAATCTTGTTCCATGTTTTCACTGTTTTGGTTAGGACAGACTGTCCTTAACCCGCTACGGCCTGAGGACAGTTACGACGGATTTCGCTAATTAACCGTGAGTGCAAGGCATTTTGGGAATTTTAATACCATAGCGGCATAGCCTATCCTAGTTCCTACCGGCAGTATTCATCGGCCAGCGCTCGGAAAGGAGTGTATTCTTCCTTGGTCGCCGGCCATGGTAAATTACGAAGTGCTTCGTCATCAATAAACGTCCAGTTAGCGTTGGGCAAAGCATCACAGCGCTCACGCAGTTCGTCGCACGTCTGCGCCAACGCATTCCCTGTTAACACCAGCAAAATGGCGCACTGAAAGAACATTTTCTAGTGTCGCAGAATAAAAATGTTTTATTACTTGTGCAAGGTGTTTATATACTGCTCAATCGTGTACGCCTAGAGTACGAGTATACTGACTAAGCATACTGAAACTTTTAAGCCGAGTAGAGGTCTCAGTTACCGTATATAGTTACTTATAAATCGTTCATGTAGTCGTTTAGCCGCCACATAATTTTCACTTGTAGCCGGCGATTATCTTCACGATCAGTGCTATGCTATTTTCATGTGATTATAATCTTAATGAAAAGCGATGCGTGTCCAGGCTTCCAGGCCATGGTAAATTTCTCAAGGTTGCTGCCTGCTGGTGCCTAACGTGCGTTTGCCATCAGCTCGACTGCAGTTCATAAAAAAGCTAGCCTGTGCTATTATCTCATTTTTTCCATCTTTTTTAATCGTGATACTTACTCAAGATATGGAAAGTTTACAAATCCATGTAGCAACCTCAACTGCAGAATATCAAAATTGCTTATAAGCATTAAATAGCGGCGCACTGCAAATGTACTGTTTGCATTACTGTCGAGTGTCGAGTATGCGGTACGCAGTGTTACAGTTTAAAATTCAAAAAAGTTGAAAATTTGACCACAGAGCCTCTAGGAAGGTTTAACTGCTCCCATTGGTTTTACATCGGCTTTCAAAAAATATTTGAAGTTCGAACTGAAAGAGATCCATTTCAAAACTAGTTTTGATGTTTTAAGACACATTAATTAGTAAATTTTCTGCCATATTAGTAAGCTCAACCTGACCGTAGAAAGCTTATTTTGACAAGCACTTCGGCGATTTGCACTGAAAAGATTTGATAATGTCGACGTAGTTACGAATCGAAAGCCCCACATGAAATTAGCAGGATCGTTTCCAGGTTTAACAAAAAGCAGTGTACTGTGCCCGATAACCGTCGCGCAAAGCGTTTACGGCGTCCGATCCACATGCGCTGGCTAGTGTCACACACAGCCTACCTTGCGGTCACTTCACTTAATCGTCTAGGACAATTAAGCAGACATAACGAGATTTTTTGCTTAAACCGTAGTCACTGTACACTACGGGAAAGAAATGCTCCGGGCTTTTTTACACTTACTGGCACACCGCGCTCTTAATTCGCACAGCGGTCGCATTTCGCTGGGAAATTCATTGCTTAAAGTCACAGTGCAACTTAAACTCCACATCTCGGGTCTGTTGCTTAACGCGGATTAACGCAACATTACCTAGCAGCAGCGGTAGTAATTAGCGGACTGGAACGCATCGGTTAACGCCGGTCTGTCTCGGTGCGAACATGGACAGTGTCCACTATAATAAGTATATGGACTGAAACTCGTGTAGTTCGCCAGTATATCTGGATTCTGGATCATTGGGACAGTGGGCGAGTAAATCCTTCTTGCAGTGTGCACTCAGTGCAGTTTCATTTTGCATGCTACAAAGCCTACAATACCAATAATGCCACTATACCAGATACGAACTGGTTAAGCAAACACTAAGCATTACTACACTGCGACTTCATTATTAATTTATCCGCATTACTGTCTCATCCTTTCAGTGCTACCGTTTTGAAATTCGGAAAAATGGGACTGTGTGTTATCCTAGCGGTTTTGGGAGACTTACATATTACTATTTCCCTGGTTTTATATCGGTTTGCAGAAGAATCAAAGTTTGTAGTTAAAGGAGATTAAAGTACGAAAATGTATCGGATTGTGTATTGTTAAACCGAAGCGCAGCTCTTGCATTTAGGCTGAGAATAATTGTGACGATCCTATTAATTTTTCCATGAACAGGAAAACTGTTATTGAAGTTCAGTTCCTGTTAGAACATAAGTACCACATACACAGACGGCGGTTGCCGCGATTTTACTACATACCCAGGGTCTACACTCCCAAATTGACGTTTCATTCTATAGTAATAAGAACATACTTTGTAAGAAACTGGTTTTATTTTTTATTACCACCGGTTTATGCTTGGTCGCCGAGAGGAACCAAGATAGTTTTCGACCGCAGGTAGTAAGATAACAAAAAAACTAAAATCTTTTATCTACCCGATTTTAATAGGCTTTAAAAATATTTTATCCGCTGCTTTTGATACGCATATAAGCAAAAAAAAGGAATCAACCAAAGATTCTGCCGCTTTGGGCACATGTGGATTTATTTTAAAACACTTCCTCACGAAGTGGAAAACACTATGCCCAAATTAGGTATAATGCGATAAAAATCCTATTGATGAAAGGTGCTAATATTATGGTAGGAGCTCCTTATTAGAGCTAATGCCATAACATTCCCACCAACTCCGATTCATTGTAGCAGTTTATCACGGTTTGGATTGTCGGATCGGGGTCGTCGGTGGCGGAGCGTAGCACTGTTTTAAAACCGCACATTCGTCCAATGGCGAGACCTCACCTTAAGCAAAGGCGCTGAACTTATGCATTAAAACTGGAGATCTGTACTGGCACGACGAACTTGCTGGAGCATACTTTGGGTTAGTAATCCTAAACGCGCAAATATAGGTTTTATTGTCCGTTTGTGTGACGCCGATGTAAGTGTGATTCCGTATAAATACGAGCATTTAGTCTGAGGTCAAGCAATATGCTGTTGTATTGAGAAATTCTTCTGTGCGCACATGTGTTATTTAACTTATTTTGGCGTATATCTATATGTATTATTAATATGTTGTTTAATATAGTATTATGTTGTTTATTACACTGCGAACCGTTTCTCTTATTTTTGGCTCTTTTTTCATAGTTTCGCTGCGTACGGTTTTGAGAAGTGACATCGATTTACAGCACCCATCTATGCGAAATTTTTTCCAGTGTTATACACACATTGTATCAGCAGAAGCCATATTTTTTTAAGTTGAACAGAAAGCAGCGTGCCGCGCCCGACAACCATCGCGCATAGCATCCACTGCCTCCGATCCGCAATCGTCGGATAGCGCCTCGTACAGGTGACCTTCCAATCGCTTTACGCAGTTGTCCAAGTGTCTGCACAATTAAGCAGACATGCACATAATTTCTCGTAAAACCATGTTAACCTAAGGTAAATAGCGATACATAAAGGGACACTTACTGACAGACCAGACTTTTAGCATTATTAATGGTGACGTTGCTCTGGGTAGGCCATCGTTGCAACTCAATGTGCAGCTTGAAATCCACATCATGGCTGCGTACGTCACAGTATCGGTGGGCGCGGTAATACCAAAGCGGATTAACGTCGGACTGGCACAATGCGACCCAGGATAGCGACCACTCAATCGAGGATGGGCAGTAGGCCCACCACTTTGACTCCACATGCGGATCATCGGCGCAACGGGCTATCAGATCCTTCTTGCAGAGTGCGGATGCATTTTCATGCTACGAACACAGCGCAAAAACACGGTATTGTAGGGAACATCATGTCGTGCTCTGATCAAGGACGGTAACGATGAATTTCGTTAATTAATTTTTAGTGGAACGTATTTTTGGAAATTTGATACCATAGCCTATTCTAGTTCCTACCGGCAGTAATTGTCGGCCAGCGCTCGAAATGTAATGTAATCTTCTTTGGTCGCCGGCCAGGTTAAGTTACGGATTGCTTGATCTTTGATAAACGTCCAGTCAGCATTGGGAAAAGCATCAAAGCATCGCAGCGCTCACGCAGTTCCTTGCAGGTCTGTGCCAACGCATTTCCTGCTAGCACGAAAAAAAGTGAGCACCAAAGAAATATTTTCAGATACTACGGAATAAAAAATAATGCTTTATTATTCCTACAGAGCATTTCTACGCAGTTCAATTGTGTACACAGAGAGTGTAACTTATTAGCCGAGTAAAAGTACCGCATCCGTCCGTATATGCATTGTATTCTTCAAAGCGTACGGTATACAAGTATGTGTACTTACCTCGATTCCTCGAAGGAGGTTTATCGAGTCGCTTAAATACAATCATGAGCTCAATCTCCAACTTGTAGCTTACAATTATTACTCTCATCAGCGCTGTTTTATTTTCGAGTGATACTGCATCTGGATAAAAACCGTTGCGGGGCGAGGGCATCTGCAGGCCATATTGGCAATTCACAGGGCTCCCAGGGAATTTTTAGCAGCTCGACTGCAGCATATAGGACAAGTAGCCAACACTATTATCTCCTTTCTTCCATCTTTTTTAACGGCGATGCTTGCTCGCGATAAAGTAAGTTTATCGTTAGTAACAACAACAGCTGCAGCATAATAATGTGCGGACGCTAAGTTATCAAACCTCATTTATAAGCAACGAGTGAGGCACAAGTTACCACACTGCGAATTTACTGTCAACTTCTTTCTATAAGCTCTTAGGATAATTGAAAATCGTTGTTTTTACAACGGTTTTCGAAAAATATCGAAAGTCGATTCAAAGTAATTTGTTTCGAAACCAGATTTAATGGTTTAAGACCCATTTATATAATAAATTTCTCCCAATTTATTTTTTCAACTCAATAATATGACCGTAAAAAATTCTAATTCTCAACAAGATTCCACAGCGCTAAGCACTGTAAAGACTTTTCTATGATGACATGTTTGCGAATGAGAGTCCACACGACATTAGCAGGACTTTTTTTAAATGGAGCAGAAAGCAGTGTGACGTGCCCTATAACCGTCGCACATAGCTTCCACCGCGTCCGATCCGCATGCAAGAGATAGGGTCGTATTCAATGGTCCCTGCAGTCGCTTCACGTAATCGTCCAGGCGTCTGCAACAAAAAATGACTAAGCACTCAAGATCTACAATCGTTGTTACCGAATTCTTGTCCAAAACCTTCATTACACTGCGGGTGAGAAATGCTCCGGCTTTCACTGTTTACAGAGAATAATAATACGTAATGTTGATTTATTGGCAATAGCCACCCAAATAGCAATAAATGCAAGCGCTGGTACACTACTTGATAAGTTAAAAATTAAACATTAAAAAAACAACCAAAATCCTTATCCTCTCTCGGATTAAAAGGCAGTGTACTCAAAACAGCCGTAGCATTTCCTTTGACAACAGCTAAACTAAAACGCTGCTTGAGAAAAGCAGTAGAACGCGCTTCGCCCGTTATGTCACGAATCTTGCGGCCCATGAAATGCAGCATTTCACTGAAGGCAGGGCCAAAAACTCCCAGAGTCTCAATAACCAGGGGATAAAAGAGGTAACCGTATTCCAAAAAAGAATATGTGCGGCGCTTGGAATTTTCCGCCAGTTGGGACACACTTCCGGATTTCATCGAGCTTGCGGTGACGTGGGAATCCGCAACAGTACACCAGCTTGTTACATCCCAAACAAGCGGTCTGCCTTGGCGAACTGGTATCAGCGTCATTCCGTCAGGTCTTTTCCCGTCTGTGCTGGATAGTCCATTCGGTTCCAGCTGACAAGGAAAGCCAGCACTTTCGCGTAATACTTATACTTACTGACAGACTGCGGCCTTGACATTAGTGACATTGCGCTGGGAAGCCCACTGCTCAAAATCATAGTGAAACTTGAGCTCCACATCTCGGGTCCGTCGTTTACAGTGTCGTTCGGCACGGATGATACGCAGTGGATTAATGCCGGTCTGGCAAAGTGCGAACATGGACAGTGACCACTCGATCGAGTACGGACTGAAGCTCAGGGAGCGCGCCAGAAGATCTGGATCATCGGGGCAACGGACTAGTAAATCCTTCTTGCAGTGCGCGGTTTCATTTAGCATACTACGAAATGCGAATATTATTTCTTTACATATACAGGATATGAACTGGTTGGCCACCAATAATGCGCAGAAAAAGACGCTTTTTCAATATTGCACCAAAAAATCGCGATTTGAATTTCGCCCCCTGGGTTCGCGTGGTTATAAAATTTGTTAATACAACAACACAACAGTGTGCAGCGGTATATCGCCGGTAATACAGTACATCATCCTAATACGCATGGATTGCCGCACTAAGTTCAAAGAGAGAAGCGCTTGTTTAAAAATAATTTTTGCAGAATCTCCTATTTTTTTTAGTTCGACATTGTGATGGAATTTCGGTTAAACAGCTTACCGGCAGTATCGGTCGGCCAGCGCTCGATATGGAGCGTAATCTGCGTCGGTTCCTGGCCAGGGTAAGCTGTTAAATTCATTTTGACCTTGCGTCGTCCATGTCCACTCGCTCAGGGCATCGCATTGCTCGCGCATTTGGTCGCATGTCTGCGCTAACCCATGCGATGCCAACAGAAGCACAATAACGCAGCAAAAGAGCATTTTCTGCTGCTGCGGATTAACGATGTTTAAAATTTGAACAAAATTTAAATTATTTACAGCTCGATTCGGTGTAGTTAAACTTATGGGCCAAGAACCGCATCCTAACCTAAGCACAGCTGCTTAAACAACATTTCACATCAGCTGCAAGACTCTCGATCAGCGCTATCTGATTTGTGTGCCATCTTGATATAACAAGACACGCGTCTATGGCTTCTGCACTGATACCAAACTGAAACCACGCTTTATTATTTTGTAATAATTTAAAAACGGTATAACACTACAATAAAAATCGAATAATATTAGGTTATAATTACGATATTATGCTACAGTTACATATAAATTTTTGAGTCGATAGTACACAGATGGTTCTCATGATAATGTCATGTTATTTCAAGATAAAATCTGCTATCTCGGTATGGGTCGGTGTGAGAATTTGGAACGGCATTATTTTGCAGTTTTTCCAATCCTACAATAACCACGGTATTATCTAATCGACTACCTGAAAGCTGTCAGTATAAGTACCTAAGATAAAAATAGCATTCTAAGTTGTAGATGGGCTAAGATGGCAGCGGTAATTTAACGCAATTCAGTTTATAGCAAACCGGTTGCCGCCGCGGCTCACCGGATAAAGGTCACACATCGCGATACCACCGACACATATACAGACTGTAGTGCCTTTATTAAGCTTTAATACGAAAATACTGTATCTCGAGTAGCTAGAGTGCTCTGCTTCTCGTAATATTGTACCTAGAGTAGCGTGTAATTCTCGGAAGTCTATGCCGGGAGTGTGTATCAGCCGTTACTCAAAATTTGCAAGCTTGCATCGGAGAACAAAATGTTTGCAGCGAACTTTGCACAGTTGTTAGTTAAGCATTAGCCATCGGACTAGTTAATTATGTATTTGCACTTTTCAGCAATACGCAGCATGCAACGTCCGGGTTCCGTCCAGCATGACATTCACCGTCTCTTGTCCGCAGGCTTCAACCAGGCTGTCCTTCGTCGTGCCGGTTAACCGCTCGGAAAATAGCCTTGCGCTCCTAATCAACAACAATTATTGGTTAGTGGCAGATGCGACAAGGTTTTCGTGCGAACTTAATCCTGACGTCATTCGGCGGCACCGATCTTATTGTGTTTTCGCGAAATAAAGAAACGGTTTTTATACCCCGATTCAACGCAGCGAAGTGGGCGGCGCCTCTGGGGATCTTTTGGCATCAATGACGCCGCTTCGCGGAATGGATCTAAGATCGTTTCTTAATTTTGCGAGAATACAGTACTTACATAATGGGTATATACAGTGACAGCATTAAAACCAATTTACAGATCATCACGCGTAACGGGCAGCTCGCGCAGCGGTCGGGGAAAACGAAAATTGTTAATATACACTCTGCTCCCTGCCAGAAGGTGTACCTGCTCTGGTGTTTGACGCAGTGCCTCATGACGTTTTTCCCAAATCGATTGCGTTTTTCCGATCGGTAGATCTTATGATTCTTATCTTTTAAAACGATCTTCTGATGTCTGGTTGAATTAATGGAATTGACGTTGTAAAGAACGCCACAGTTCAGAAACTCTATTGTAATAAACTTGTTTAAAAGAGATCGTGATTTTGTGCACCAAGTCTTGTTTCGTCACTGACATCTCATGTTCGTCATTCTGCAGTAAACACGCAACAGGTACTCTAGCGGTTCTTCAACTTGTAGTCATTCTCTTCTACCTTTTTTTACCATGTGCATGCACACTAAACCACACTGTATACCAGTGTCAATATTTATAAACACAAAATGCATGCATTTTGATGTTTATATACTTGAATGCACTGAGAGAAAGAGGGCATCAACAAATTTTTTTAAAAAACACGTGACCAAAAATCACGAGGCAAAAATTACGTCATCCATACCGTACACCGATGCCTGCAAGGGGAAATCGCTTGCATAATATGGCCTTCCCTGTACTGTTCAAGTCATCCGTATGGATTTCCACGTCATAGCTGAACAGGGATTTTTATAAGCGCTACATTTATAGTAACTGCACATGTTGCTAGTTAAAAGTCGAGTTAGCAAACGTATCTCGAAATGCGTATAAGTGATTACACTCACGCTGCTCTATATTCCTGGTAAATTTTTTACTGTTTTTTTACATGAAGAATTCACAAAGCCATCAGAGCCAGACGTTATAAAAACGAATTTCAAAGACTTGGCGCGGGACGCAGGTGGCACCGCCCAGGGTGGCACCGTGATTTGGCTTGTGTGGCACCATTTTAACAGATTTCAAAATTTTTCATCCTTTTAATTTTCAATTTTCGGGCGCAACTATGGTTGCAAAATCCATACGGTTGACTGGACAGCACAGCGAAGGTGTGTAGTATGCAATCGATTTTCCTCCATATTAAACAATCAGGTTCAGGTGCAAATTTACTACTGGCCAGCATTTTTCCTGATTAACCACCATCCGCACCATTAACCACCTAGTTGTGACCCTGGATAGCATAAAGAGACTTTTAACCGAACTCCTCGCCGAAGGGCTGCTTTGCGTACAAACGAAGAATCTTAACAACGATATGCAGGAGGTAATACTTAACCGTGCAAGTTGAACGTTTTCAAGCTTTTACACGATGCTTGGTTTTTAGAGATACTTCGCACAGTGTCGACAACTCGGTGGATCTTGTAATAATCCAACTGTTGAGAACATGCTGGCAATTTTTCGAATTCTGTCGTGCCACAATATGCAGAAAGTGTGCGAGCGATCAAAGACGAACATCGAACCAAGTGACGATGAAGTTGTTATTGGTTCAATGAATATTCTGGATTTGTCCGAAGAGTTTTCAAAAAAACTCGAAGCTGATAAATCCTTGGCCCTGATTTCCCAATCTGATCCAGTCACTCCAGAACTTGAGCCTTTACCGGAAGGTGCTCAACTGGATAGCATTGTGAAAAATGTGGTTTACTATCTGAGCGGATTCACAAATAAAAGAAAAGAGCTGGAGGCTGAAGTTTGTGACTCTTGTCGTTCGGAGTTATTTTGGTTAGATTCCTCGAATCAAACTCCTGATTTTGCCCAACTGACCGAAATGAAAGACGATGGAGGTTTGAACTTCGTTGGAGTTGTTTTTTATGAAATGATATGCAGTCTGGAGCAGATAATTCAAAAACACATTGACGAAGTCCTCTACTTTTCTCCGCGTCAGTCACTTCTCGCATTCGCTGAAAGATATGTCATGGAGGATTTCGTTGCCAGAAAAAGTAATCTGCGGTCTCCATGCCTTGCAGATTGTTCGTGGAGTGAAATTTTTCGTAAAAGTGCATTTTATTATTTCCAAATAAGGATCCATTTCTATGTTAAGTTGATGAACGATAAGGTTGGCAAAAAATGGTCGAAAAGTGCCGAATCTAAGAAGCGAAAATTGAAAATTCGCACGGGTTCATAATTAGTTGCAATGAATGTTGCGGGTTAATGTTAGTTGCAATGAATGTTTTGGGATTTGTTTTCATTCCTTGTAAATAGTTATTAAAATCGGCAGACGCGATACGTAAAGTTGCGTGCGTGAAATAAACTCCGTAGGGTTTACGTAGCGTAGCGTATCGATCACCGTATCGATTCCCCGACCGCTGCACGAAGTGCCCGTTACGCTTGATAACACGTAAATTCTATTCAGAGCTGTCACTGGATATACCCACCTTGGTACTTACTTACCGGAGCGCAGTATTAACTTTGCAACTCGCACATGGTTTTAAGAAGACTGTTTGTTGCTTTCTTGTTCTTAGAAGGAAGCGACCAAACTCGTTTAAATTTATTTGCGGATCTTCCAGCTAACAGAGCTCGAGCGTACTTACTCGCACATATTGGCCCTGGCATTGGATTTCTTTGAGCTGCGTGCGCGCTGCTCCGTCCCATCGGTCAGCACGCGGAAATATTGCCGGGCGCGCGATTTACAGTAGGTCATGGCGCGCCGGTATCGTAGCGAGTCACCGTAGTGCTCGCACAGTTTAGCGGTGGCCAGCACCGATTCGATGCTGTAGTGGCTGTAGATGGTGCCGCGCTGTAGCATGTAAGGGTCATCGGGACAGCGAGCAACGATATCACGCAGGCAATGTCCTGTTCGATTGGTGGTGCTGCAAAAATAAACTAACTGCAAATTAAGAACAAAAGTGGAAATTGGCCGGTCAATCCGCGGTTTAGGCACTGAGTAATAAAACCGGTCTCATATTTACGATTATTATCGTTGTACTACAGTAAAGTAATTTAATGTTGATTTTATTTTAGAGAGTCCGCTAAATATGTAAATTGCAGCTAGTTAAATACCTGCAAAATTTATCGGATAACGCACGGTGCGGAGCGTAATCTGCTTCCGTTGCGGGCCATGGCAAATCCCGAATGTCGTCGTCGGGTATGGAATGGCGTATGGTGTCGCATGCTTCGCGTATTTCTTCGCAGTTTTCAGCGCCGACATGCGCAGCGAATGCCAGTAGCATGGAAAGCGGAAGGAGTTTGCTCGGCAACATTTTTTGACGAGGTTGTGGCGTGGACGCTATAATTGTTGCCGGCAAGTATCCCACGGGCACCGGTTGACAAAGGCTTATGCGGACAGCGCCGTACTTCCGAAATAGCACAGCTATACAGTACAAACACTCAGAGATTGTGGTACTGATTGTACCACGTCGAAGAAAGCTGGTGTTCATCTTGTGTAACATCAGGACAGCCTGAAAATGCAATACACGGAGTGCAGTAAACTGCTTTTAATTTATTAGAAAAAGATTTCTCTCGTGATAGTGCCCGGTCGAAAGATGTTATCGTTTGTTTTCTGAGAAATTTTTACAGGAATTGAACAGCTGGAAACTTGATTTACAGCGTAGTACGTAATTATGAGAAGAAGTGAAAGAACAATAATAAACCGGTGTCGTTGAGCGTTTCCAGTGGCCGGTATAGGCAACTAAGTACATAATATTACTCTATGATTGTCATGACAGAATTTGGGGTACTCAAAGTGAAGCATATACTGCGAATTAAATCGTTAGTATTAAAGCATTAGTAACTCTTGCCATTCTCAAAAAATATTTAACCGCGTTTTCTTGCGAATTTGCAATACTGCCTGCTACGTACAATACGAGTAGTAGTAGCGAAGGTCCTCTTAATTCATCACCAATGCAAAAATGTAATTAATTAATTATCCCAAGAAATAAATAATACTCATTAATTCGTATTACTGAAAATCACGTCGAGATAAAACGCTGGATTCTGACAGTGTTTGGTCGATTGTACTCTTCACATTGTACTCTGCGCTACTGATGGATTATGCAATCATAGCCAGCTGAACCACCAGCAAAGCCGGCCCAACCGCAACCGGCTCCAGTGCAACAAAATCAAAACGCCACAATTGTGATAGCAACAATGCAGTTGTCACTGAGAGTGGTTTGCTGTACGAGTTAGTGTGAGCTGAGCGGTTCTACAATAAAGGCGAATACGTGACAACGATCTTAATGCTTGATGATCTTAACGATCTTTATGCCTTCGCGACCTAGGCACCCACGTTTCGACACTAATGACCTTTCGTCTGTTTTAGGAATTTGCCGATTTTTCTCAACAGGTCACTCGTCTGCTGCTGTCGACATTCTCCAGAGTGGGGGCACTAGTGTAACCCATTCCAGCTGAATTTGACTCAAAAATTAACACGAAGTGTTGTACAGTATTTTGAAATTAGTGTGCATGCCACAACGTTAAACGTATTTTGCAAGGGGTGCGGCTCTCAGCATTGCTAAATTTATTCAAATGGATACTATTGTTAGCAGGGAGTAAGTACAGTATTCAAATTTCAATAAAAGCAATTAAAAATTTCAAAATTCGTGGTTTTGCTGTGCATGATCCGTGATAGCTTAAGTGCATTATGTACGGTTATTCGTTGATTACTGCGCACAAACATTACGGACAGAATTGTTCGGCCTGTATGAGTTCCTCGGACAGCAAATGGTTTTCTTTTCAAAATCATAGCATGGCTGTTGTAGTTTTAGAAATGTTTACGGATTTTCATCCACATATTGGCTCTAAGGATCAGCGTCTTGGAAAGTAATCGCAACAGTTTGCGTAAGCTGCCGATTTCGTGACTGCAATCATCCGGATGTTGTTAGCAACTGCTACAGCACGGTAGAATTCGGATCATATAAACATAAGATAATGCGTACACCTCTGTTCAGTTTCTTTCACGAAGCCACTTTTTCAATCGCAATAACGCCTTCATATCTCACCCCTGCCATGTTTCGAGTCTTTAAACGACGCGCGAAGGAACTTTATTCTGCAGTCAGTACTGCAATGACTATATGTGGAGTTGACAAAGTCGTTCTTACAGCACCACCGGAAATTCTTGGGACCATTTTCCAGTATTTGGACACCTGCGATCAACAGCGCCTGCGCCGTGTCTGCGCCCTGTGGAATTCCATAGTGACCCTGCGTTGCGTAGGGGACTTGCGTTATAACTACAACGCCAGAGCGGTGGCCTGGTGGTCCCTGGGATGGAATCAGCGCGCCCGGGAAGCCTGTCATCTGTGCATCGGTTTGGAGCGTTTCTGGAGACCGACCGTGATCATCAGCGCTGCCACGCTCGTCGAGGCCGAATCCATGTTCAACTTTCCGGCATGTACCGGCGCTTGGTTCCAGCGTACCATCCTGCGGAAACACGGACACCGGGCGGCGGACCGGGTACTGCTGCAGAACCTTTGCTGGACACAGTCGTGGCAGCGCGAGCAGGCCGATATCGTCGGCTGTGTGCTGCATGAGCTGAACGGTCTGGCGAAGTTGGGTCGTACCCTGATTCTGCGTAATTGCACCATCACTGTGCCGTGCTACAACGTGCACATCAACATTACAATGGCCCGCATCACGACCGGTCAACGTCCTGGCGAAACGGCGTGGTGGACGTTGCTGGACAATGGATGCTTCGCTTTAGATGAGGAGGAGCTGGGCTGGTTGGCGGCGTGGCTCCAGGACCCTAAGAACAGTGACCATGCTGAATGGGTATGTAATGGGCCGTGCGCATAAATTCCATGATACTGTATTATATGTACAACTTATTAATTTACAAAGTATAGTACTACCGGTAAAACTGATACTTCTGTGGCCTGTGGTATACTTGTTGCATATTGATATTGATTTAAATTAATTTTGTTAACAGTAAAAAACGATTTAACCATAATGATTTTTGGGAATCCATTGTAGGCTCTGTCCAGTATGTGGGACGTGAATTCCTACAGGCCTGCGACTACTCGTGACAAAAGAAGCCATGATGGAGTCAAGGACGTTGTTGACGTGTATAAGCTGACGACCTTCAACGCCGTCCTTTTGTACAGTTTATGTACAGGTTGCACTTTGACTATTGACGTTACACTGTGAAAATTTCGCAGTTAAATTCGTGATGTGACACACTAAAGCGAGTGTTCTAATCTTTGTACATCTTGCTCGCAGCTTAGCTGCGAGCAGCGCCTTTAAAGTGTTCTTTTCCATTCTGTAGTCAGACCATTCTTAAACATTAATGAAAAGAGGGAGATTAATGGGTGAAATCTGAAATAAAGTTTGAAGATGTTTAACTGCGCCAAAGCTTTCTTAAATAATAATGAACATATTTTCTAAGTTTCTTCCAAGAAGATGCGTAAAATGCCAAAGTCTCGTAAATCCGTAAATATTAGTTTACCGTGCCGGATGATCCGTAGTTCATAGGCCAGGACGCAACGCGTTTTTCTCTTCTACTCGTAGAGGAATTATGTCGGTAAATAACACTACATTCATGTGAATCCATGGGGGCTTTTGACGGAAGTCTTTTACAAACGTGCTGACCGACAAAAGCGGAAGCTACCATATATGTATATACGTAAATAAACATAAAGACAGTATAATTGCCAATTCGTCATAGATGCGAGAATACTGTAATAGCAATAATTGTTCTGGACCTTTCGTATATCCTTTACCATTTGCTTCGGTTCTCAGCGACTACTGTACGACAGTACGAGTATTAATATTTTTGTTATTACGGTGACCTTCGAGCAGACAAAAGGCCCAACTATTTTTTTATATTCCCGATACAGTACAATTTTTTGACCTATTAAGCCTGTCAGAAATGCTCACTTGACAAAACACTCTAGGATAACTTCAAACACTTCTGTATTACAAGCATTTTCGATAATCCCGCTACAGTTAATTGAGCACAGAAAAGCACAAATTAAATCAGCAAGCCAAAAAAACGAACGTAGTTATTTATAGTATTTCATAAGAAGTTGTTAAGAAGTGGGCCAAATTACTTCAGATTCGATTGTCGTCTTGCTTATGCAGCAGTACATTAGATATTGGGCCATTCGTGTCAACCTGTTTACATCAACGGAGGCAAGTGGATCCCGTCTTGATGCGTAGGACTTCAAATACGTGCAACTCTCCCGAGGCTCCCCACCCTGCCGAGTATTTCGGATCTGTAATAATAATAAGACTGTTGAGAAGGCTTTTTGCGCTGTGAAGTATGTGGCTGTTAGCCTGTTACCTGAGATAGGTCGCAAGAAAGCCGCAATCGTTTTCACAGTCCTTTAGCGCAGTGGACACGAAGGTCTTCTGTTGGTCATTCAGCAGCGGATAGCCCTGCTCAATCATATCCCACCAGTCAGCGACAGTCAACGACTGTCAGCGACAGCGATTGTTGTTCATCCGTGCGAAGGGTATGCGGATGGTGATCGGCACGCGCCCATCAATGCGTGACGTCGTAATCTTGCACGTAAAGCTTTTCACGGTCAGCGTATGACAAAATTAATAGCCGCCAGCGAGTCAAAACCGCTCTAAAGAGCAAAAATGTAATCCTGGCACGTAGAAAGCCCAGAAAAGCCGCAGCTCATATCTTTCAATACAGAATCCTCAGTAATTTATCCGCTCCTCCTCGCGTTATGGTGAGCGGCAGGACCCCACGCCAGAAGAACGGAAAGTGCGCCAGCTGAAGTGGCTGTTGTCCATCGTCCTGGACTGGCCAGGGAACAATGCGATTCCTCCGACAGCGTGGCACATCGGTATCAGTGACACGCGTAATGCCCGAGGGAGATGCCTCAAATGGCCCGCGGTCAAGCTCTGACTCAGAAACTGACCGCACAAAGCCTGACTCTGACTCTCACTGCACAAAGTCTGACTCTGACTGTCTAAACTCTGACTTTGACCCCTCAAACTTTGACACTCAAAGTCTGACTCTGACCGCAACACTCTGACCACTAAAACTGACCCCAATAAAAACAGTTTCTTAGGTTTTTAAGGGTTCTTAGGTTTCTTACGTTTTCTAAGCTTTCTTAGGTCATTCTTAAGCTAGTTAGGTTTCTTCGGTTAAAGATAAATTTCTTATGTTCGTTGGCTTTTTAGGTTGTTGGATGATCCTTAGGCTATTCTTATGTGATTAAGGTAACTTTTGCTATTTAGCTATACTTGGGTTTATCAAAAAATTCTGACAAACAGAAGAAAACCTAAGAATAACCTGAAAGTAACCTAAGCAACCTAACAGCCGCGCGGAGGGGGAGGGGGTACGGAGGAGCCATTCCTCCTCACATAGTTTGCATTGCATTTCGTAGTTTAAGCGTCATTCACAGCTCTGGATGTACGCATTTTCCCCCTCCCCTTTCGAATTTAGTTGAAGATCTGTCGAACTGCCACGAACTGAAAACAGTTGCTTGGAAGGCATAGCACACAGTGCTTTGTCTTTCGGCCGACGTTGCTTACATTTCGTGTGAACACCCGACAGCTAAAACCATAAGTCAGCAGGCTACAGACTGGCTTTTTCCTGGTAATAGTGCAGCTGGCGCTTGACGTGTTTACGGATCTGTATTCTCGTAAAGCTCATCGCCCAACGTGTCGCAATAGTTTGCGCAAGCCGCTGATTCATAAGCAAATTTTTCCGAATGTTGTTAGCATTGCTTGAACGTGGAAGTGGAGACTTCGAATTATTCGAGTAAAAAAAGCCGTGCCCATCTTCAGCTGTATTGCTGATTACCACAGGCACAGCGACCATTAATAATTTACGGGGGATCGACCCAATCGACCACAATAACTTCTGTTAACTGTAAAACCTTTTCGGGTCTTGGAATAACTGAATGTGCGCGACAGGATTTGGTTTCAGAAACCAATAAAATGCCGGCGTGGAACTCCGCCACGGACG